GCCCTCCTTGGGGCTCCAACAATAGCCCGCGTGGCTGCATTCTGGACCAGCTGTAGCTTCCAGATACTCTTCAAGGGTAGCCCCACGTAGAGCGCATTGCAGTAATCTATCTGGGAGATAACAAGGGCGTGAGTGACTGTTATGGATGATGGGAAAGTAGCAAGTAGGAAAAGCTTATTTGCTTAAATATGGGCCACCCAAAATATTGACAAATAACAAGGAGCTTCAGATTAAGACAGCTCAAATCATTTGGACAATTATGATCATCACTGTCCTGCCTTTTCCTGTTGTTGACATATCTTGGTTAGTTGGACTATTTTGGACTGAATACATTGGTTGTGTGGATGTATTCTTTCACCTACATCCTTATGAGAAAAGGCTGTTAAGTCTTTCAGTTGAAGTATATGCATGGCATGGAGAAAATGGATGTGGAGAAGGTTTTCTCCCCTTTACAAACCTTAGGACCAAGGGTCATCCCAGTAAGACTAATTGGAAGGAGATTTAGAACAGACAAAACAAAAGGAATTCTTCACTCGGTGCTTAATTAACCCCTGGACTTCATTGTCACAGTACATAGTGACGGCTGATAACCTGAACAGCTTGGAAAGAGAATTGTTTTAGTTCATGAGAACAGGTCTTTCAGACCTGAAGATTCATTGTAACTTCCAGCTTGGAGGCTGTTTGCCTCCAAATATTAGTTTCAGGGGAGCAGTTCCCCCTGCTTGTGAGCACCCAAAAATATCTGCCAGGCCACTCTGAAAAACAGTGCTGGATTAGGATGGGCCTTGCCTGATCCAGCTTGGCTATTTTATGTTCTTTTGCATTAAAATGGAATGCTAGGAAACCCGCTCAGTTTTTCTTATATATAAGTAAGTATTCAGGCATGTGGTGCAAACTGATTTGAATCAGCTTGGCAGCACATCTTCTCTCTTTATGGTTTGATTTTTATTTGGAATATGGACCAAATCTAAGTACCCCTTTTGTGTAAATTAGCATGGACTCATTAGTGCCAAAATATACTTGGGCCATTTAGATATCTTATTAGCATGCATTTGGACGCACTAACATTATAAATAAAGAAAAAATATTTAAGTGTGACCAGGCATAAGTGACATTCCTGTGGCCCGTATCCTGTATAATTCAGGGTTAGTTTGTGGTCTGCAGCTTCCAGTGGTCACAGGAGCAGAAGCCCAGAAAGGCATAAAGAAGAATTTTAAGAAAAACCTAATTTATCCTCATGGAGAAAGTACAAGTACATTGGCAAAATTAAAGACCTGGAATCCAACATGATCATTATTACACGAACGGTAGCTAAAACACCAGGCATAATTGTTGAGCAATTGAATGTCTCTCCTTCAGAATAAAGGCAGAATACTTTTATTGGATGAGGATGGGGTGATCCCATTCTCACCAGTGGGAGCTGTGTCTCATCATGGCAGCACAATGTTTTTAAGTTCAACAAAGAAAACCCACAAACCATTCCTGAAACTAGACAGGATAGAAGCACATGCCAATGTATAGTAGGAAATAATCCCACGTTGGCAGTCTACATGGAAAGGATAACCTGTTTTTTCCATTTTTCCCTTCTTTTTAAGATGTTGTATGGGGATGCCATTCTTTTATTTGCTGCTGAAGTTGTACTATTTCATTCCTTTCAGCCAAAGACCCTGCAGCCTGAGCCTGATATTGTTTGCAGATGTGAACAGTTTGGTTAGAATCTTTTGTGGCAATGTCCATACTTCATGGAGGAATGCTTCTGACTTTTATTACATATTAGGTTATATTGATGATCGTGGGATCATTAGTAATTCTTTCATGTGTTATAATGCTTTAAATATTTTAGATCTGTGCTCTTAACTCAAGTCCTAAAATTAATTCAGTTTGCCCAGAATCCCATTGGATGGGAGACGCATATAAGCCCCAGTAAATAAATTTAAATATATCTCTTGTGCTCTCTGAAGTTGCAAGTTCTAAGTAGTGGGAAAATACCATTTTTTCCCCTTGCTCTGTCTGGTTTGTGTGACAAGAATTAAAATGACTTTTTACTTTTTTGTATTGTACAAATATTATAACGACATGAGAATAATAACTCAAGATCAAAGAAAAGTGTTTGAAATTGAACATTTAATTTTGATTGTCTAAGAGGTTTAGTTTTATTCTGATGACTTTGATACCAACTATATGGACATTATGTGAAATAATTTATCTGGCTTAGATCCTAAGATAAGTAAACTTAAAGGAATTTACAAAGGAATGTTTGCATTCCCTCAGTTGCTCTTGTTCTATCCATAAATCTTTTCTGGAAAGTTTCCTTTTGGAAGCAGTATGGGATCCATAAATACCCTCATAGAGGAGAAGATACATGTCCAAAATCAGACTTGAAGTTTTATAATTAGCAGTCTGAAGAAAATTCACAGTAAGGATGTTTCTGGACTCTTTTTTCTCTAATACTCCAATCTAGACCTCCTCAAACTTTTGATCTGTTAGAAGAGCTGCATGGGGAAAGATACAATAGTTATCTTCTGTGAGTTAAGTTAATTCACATCTTAATAGCCATTTTTTACATGCAGGCTATTTTTTTCTTTCTGGGCAGTAACTTCTGAAAACATTTGGACTCCTCAGACCTTTTCTTAAACAGCTGAGCTTGAATTACCTAACTGGGATTTTTCTTGAACCCAGTGCAGAATGATCAAGAAACTGGACCCTTGGGCTTCTGTTTATACTTACTTAAAATGCAAGCCCTGCAGTGATGTGCTACGCTATATCAAATCCTGTGCTCATTATATGATTGCTATGATCAAATTGCACTTTTCACATTTTAATGTATTTTGTGATGTATTTTGTACATCAACTGTAATTGATAAATAAGAGCATAGCTTGCCTCTGGAATTCTACTTCTGTGATTCTTAGGATATGCATGAAGTTGCTAGTACCCAAAGTAGTAGTCCTATACAAGCTGTATGGTTGTGTTTCCTAATTGGTGCAAGAAGTAATATGTTTGTTAATTCATTCCTTTCCAATTTGACCATTATTGGTAACCCAGCCTCCCTAGGTCTGATTATTATCATTCTAAGAGAAAAGTATTTTGCTAAAATGTCTTCTATGAAAATGTAATTGAAAGTTTGGCCTTCAGGGGTATGGCTTTCATTAGAAAAGTGTGCCAAGATTATTAGTCCTTAAAATATATGCAAGTACGATGATGTTCCATTTGTGTTGAGTGCTGTTTGATAGATGAACTGTAGCTTCCTTATAACCCATAGTTGATTGGCTTAACATAGTAAACTAAACTATTCATGTTTTATGGATCACTGTGGCTGGGTTCACCAAATACCTTTAGCTAGAATTGAACAGATTAGGTTATAGTTTAGTACAGCATTTGAACCCAGTTCATTGCATTCACTGTCCACCTTATCCTAAGAGGATCTTATGCCTTGTCCATAGAGTAGACTCATTATAAGAATACAGAAACCCTGGTATCAAACTATCTCAGTTTGAAATGTTTGTAACTCCTCTTGTTGGCTCCCATGATTGTGCTGTTGGAATGTAAATGAAAATGAATAATGCTTACATTATTCCATTTATGATTTTGCAGTTAAGCGATGGAGGCAAAGCGGCTAATGCAAACGTTGGAATAGGTGATGTGGTCCTTAGCATTGATGGGATAAGTGCAGAAGGTATGACTCATCTGGAAGCACAAAATAGAATCAAGACCTGCTCGGGTAACCTGATTATGAATCTGCAAAGGTAATTATCATGACTGTTGGTATTACCATGACTGTTATTAAGTAACATTACTTTAGAAGAAAAAAAACATGCATTCTTCTTTCCTGGAATGCTTATGCTTTTTTCTAGTCCTGATTGCACCCTTTGTTTGTAATAATGAGAGCTTTGTAGTGCTGTATGGCACCATCAATTTATTTCTTAAAAAACAAACAGTCAAATAACTATACGGTACAGAATTGCAAGGACCCATGTCATACCACTTGCATATAATTCCTAATCCTTTAGCCTTCTGATAGACAACTAAACTGTCCTCTAACTTAGCTTTATTCACAACATCTCTTTAAAGCTTATTTTTTAAACCACATATCCATTGTTCCTTTTTTTTTTTTTTTACCTACTGTGAGAAATAAGTTTGGTAAAAAAACAGCCAATCTAATTAATATTCATTCTAAAGACCAGTTTTTAATACTGTATGATACTTCATCCTTAGAACTTGAAAAATAGTATGAATGAATGCAGTGAAGTGAGTTGTACATCGCAGTGACATTACAAGGTATATCATTGGGAGTATTTATTCCCAGAAGTCCTCCCTCCACCCCAGTGGCCCTAAAGGATCAGACAAATAAACTCTACTCAAGAGGGAAATACAGCCATTCCAATATTCTTCCAAGAAAACCAAATGGACATTCATAATAAGGACAATGTCAGCATGGCACTGGGAGAAAAGTACCCCCAGACCAAGCTACTAGGGAAGAGCAGAGGCAACTATGGGTAGCTCTGGTACTTATGATGTGGTAGATTAAAGCTGAAAGGATGTCCAGCTGCTGATATGTCAAGAAGCAAAAATAAAGTTTGATGCTGCAAAGATATGTATATTACTAGTAAGTAGAATGTTGGAACCATGAACCAAGACAAACTTGATGTTGTCAGAGCAGAAATGTCAGGACCGAACATAGACATGTTCTGGGAATCAGAGCTGAAATAAATTATTTCATGTAAGAGAGCATCAGATCTACTGCAGATGAGAAAAGTAGAGGAGAAATGAAGTAGCTATTATTATATATACAAGGGTGACAGTCAGTGCTCAAATATGATAGAGTGATAAAAAATGATAGGATGATCTCAAAAAAATATAGAATGATCTCAGATCAGTATCATGCTGATCCAAGCCTGTGCTCCACCCACAGATATGTGGAAGTGGAACAGTTCTATAGCAACTTGTCAACACAACACCAGAAAAGTCACCATATTCATTATATGAGACTGGATGCTAAAGTTGGAAGTAAAGTAACATCTGAAATAATGGGAACATTTAGTTTCTATGTATAAAATGAAGCAGGAGACAGGCTAATAGTTGTGCCAAGAAAATTTAATATTTATAGCAAATACCTTTTTTTCCCCAACAACCTAAAGCTGAGTTGACATACCACATCAACAGATGGACAACACCAAAATAAAATTGACTACATATTCTGCAAGAAAAATGGAAGGATTCTATTAAGTCAGCAAAAACAAGATTTAGTGCTGCCTATGGTTCAAATCACAATTACCACTAGATCCTACTTTTTGCTTCCTGAAAAGATATTTTTAAGTTGTAATTTTGCAAGGAGTGTGTGATCTCAGCCACAAAGTCCTTTCTTGCAAAATTACAACTTAAAATCATCAGACCAGCATGATATAACTTAACCAGTTTCTACATGAAAATGTGGTGAAAGTAATAAATTTAATGGGTGAGATTTGATAAATAGACCGATTGAAAAACTCTGGATTTGTGACATTAAAAGTGAAGCTAACAAAAATATCCAGACATGCAAAAAGGAAAAGAAGGAGAAATAGCTGTTTGCTGATAGGTTGACTCCCTCAAAGTAGAAAGTAAAAAGCAACAGAGACAGGGTGAAGAAATCAGAACAGAAAGACTCCGCCCAATAAATGCTGAGTTTCAGAACAGAACAGGAAAGCACAAGGAGCTCAACTAAATGAGCAATACAAAAAGATTGAGGATAACAATCCAAGTAGGATAAGCGATTTGTTAAAGAAAATTACAGATATCAAGGAGATACCTTATGGAATGATGGGTACAATAAAAAACAAAGATTTAGAAAAGGATATAAAAAAGAGATGGTATGAATATATGGAAGAACTGTAGGGAAAAAAATGACAGATACGAAAGTTTGATCACTGATTTAGAGCCAGTAATTTTAGAAAGTGAAGGTAAATGGACCCTAGAAAGTACTGCTAAGAACAAGGCTGCAGTTATTTTATTAAGGACTAGCCAGACTGTTCAAAATCTTTCAAAATGCTACAGTTACAGTGCTACATGTGGTTTATGAAGTATGCAAAACAGAGCAATGGTCAAGGGACTGGAAAAGAAAACTTCCATTTCAATACCAAAAATTGCTCAAACTACCAAACAATTGTACTTAACTTGCATGCTGGTAGGACAAAGCTCGAGAGTTTGCAATCCAGACAGCACGTGGAATGAGAACCGTCAGATACTATATTCAGAAAATGCAGGCAAGGGAATTCCAAAAAGAAATGTGTTTATTGTTTTACTGATTATACAAATGCTTACATAGACCACCACAGATTGGCAATCCCTTAAAAACCTGGCCTACCAGACCACTTCATTTGCCTATTTAAGAATCTGCATGATGACCAGGAAGCATCAGTTAGAATAAAGAACAACTAAATGATTCAAAATTGGGAAAGGCTACATACTATCCTCTTAGTCTTTAACACATATGCAGAGTATTTGATGATAAATGCTTGATTAGAAGAAATTGCAATTAGAATTAAAATTGTTGGGAGAACAACCTCCCAACCTCAAACAGGCTGGTGATATCACTTTGAGGCTGGAAGTGAAGAAGGCCTAAGGAACCTCTTGTTGAAGATGAACGAAGAGAGTACAAAAACAGGTCTGGTGTTCAATATCAAAGAAACAAAAAACAAAAACTAAGATTCGACAGGCAAAGCTAATGCAGTGCAAATAGGCAGAGAAGAAATTGGAACAGATTATCTTCCGAAATTCACAGGCATAGAATAGAAGACCCTGGTGCTTGGAAAAATGGACATTTAAAAGAGGCCAACAAATGACAAATGTGGCTAGATGCTAACACTGATGACATACGTATAAGCTTACAAGAATTCAAAAAAGCAGTTGGTGACTGACAGTCCTGGTGAAATGATGTCCATTGGGTCACAGAAAATTGGAAGTGGCTAAACAATATATTGCCTGATAACAAAGCTGATTATGCCTCATCTTGGGTATTTGAAAACAAGAGCTACTGTATATTCCACCCTCTTCCCAGATGCATCCAGCTTAAAAAAAAATGCTAGTAGATTTTTTTCTCCAAAACAAGAATATAGTATTTCCACTAAAATGTAGTACATCAGATTATTTTAGGATTATTGAAACCCTATTTTCAAGTCTAGGTGTTAATTGTTTGATCCAAAGTAATAACAATCTCTTGAATCTATAGCTAGAGACAGTGTTGACCTGTTGACTGAAGCATGACTAAAAATAGAGATTCCTTATGACTGTTCTTTGTATGAATCAATTATGATTTAACTAGTCAACTACAGTTCAGGCTGTCAACATATTTCTCATCAGGAGTATCTTCTGAAGTTAACAGTTCATATTATGAAGTTAGTACTCATAAGAAGTATCTTATGAAGTTAGCACCTTAGGGGTTCCCTTTTCTCTAGCATTAGGACTTGGTTCCGAAAAACACATTACTGCAACAAATAAGCTTTGTGGAGGACATTTATACATGTTCCTTCTGCTTTATTTCAATCATGCAGTCTTCAATAATGAAGGATTTGCCAACCCAAAGTAAATTAATTTAACTCTGTTCATTACATGTGATGTCCACTGAGATTTGCAGGAGGAATTAAATTTCTCATAAAAGCTAACATTTGGATATCTAAAGAAGTGCAATGGAATAATGATAATTTATATAGGGAAAGAAATAGCAGAAGTCCTAGTTTTTAGTTTTTATTTAATGGCTAGTTTAGCAAATCCTTGGGGGTTTTCGTTACACTAACTTGATAGCAAATGAGTCAGTTTCAGCCCCCATACAGGATATGACTCACTAGTGTCTGCTACCTGGCAGCTGGGCAGAGATTACCCAGGATTAGGCTAGTAAAGATCAAATGAAGAGTCCTTGGATCCAGACATGGCATCTTAGCTTTGTTTAAGAGGGAATGTTGTCTTATGGGTTTTTGCCAGTTTCCAATCCTATATTTTCCATCTGTTTTTAATCCTTTTTGGATCCGAGAAGCATTTGACAATGTATTTTTGTAGCTGTGCCTATGTAGTGTTTTCCTGCCACCATAGATAGTAAATACTCTGAGCAACTTTTACAAACCCAAGAAATTCAGAGAACGCCAGGCTGAGAGGCTGCCTTAAATATTATTGGATGTTCATAAACTATAGTTCATTTCATCAGATACACATGATGTATTATAGTGTGGTATTTTTTTTTAATCAGTTATTTTTTTGAGTGTTCACTAAAATTATTCTACATTTAAGCCTTTTTTTAATTGTCATATTTCAT